TCATGACCTCAATTCTACCTTACATATCAGATTAGACCAGAGCATGCACACTGCTACAGATAAGAGCCCGAAACACAGGGAATCCAGGATAGATAAACCCCTCAGGGCCAACAAGGAGAATAGAGATACCAGAAGGATTAGGGGAGGGTGGGGGGAATTGATCACAAGAATCAGTCTAGAACCCCGTCCCAGGGGGATGAATAATGGAAAAGTGGGTGAAGGGTGACGGAGGACAATATAAGACATGGAAAAAATAATCTAGAACTTGTCAAGGGTTTGTGAGGGAGGGTGGGGGGGAGGGGGAAGAAATGGGGAGCTGATATCAGGGGCTCAAGTGGGAGGAGAATGCTTTGAAAATGAGGATGGCAGCCTATGTGCCAATGTGCTTGGCACACTGGATGAATGCATGGATTGTGATAAGAGATGTAAGAGCCCCCAATCAAAGTATCTAATTTTTAAAAAAGAAAGACTAACCTATGGGAGAGCCCAGGGTTCCCTCCGTCTCCCTCAGGGGCCCACTGCTGGCCTTGCGGTCATCACTCAGCAACAAACCCAAACTCCCGGCTGATGAGTCCATTCCAGTTCACAGGGACCCTATTTCTGGGGCAGCACCTCTCTACGGGCTAGACAGCCTCACTCCCCACCCCTCCCGCAGTCCATTGGCAACCGAAGAGCCCCACGTGCTGTCTGTCTTCGCAGGAGAACACGCACTGTCCCGGTGCCAGCATGAGAACGCAGCAGCGGTGTGGGATCTCGCCTAAAATTGGCACGGTGTTGTCCGGCGTGTTCACCATCATTGCCACCGACCTGTCCATGATCTTTGAAGAAAAGTACATGAAGCGCAGCAATTGCTCTGCCGTCCAGGTGCAGAATGCTGCTATCAAAAAACATCTCATGCAATCCATCATGTGCTGGAGTTTCCAAATTGCTATCTTCATGTCTCTCGTCACCTTTATGGTCAGCTTCCTCCTCCTGTTCTCCGTGTACACCCAGAAGTTCGGGGGCATGGTGGTCTACTGCATCTGGATTATCGTCTACGAAGTTGTCAACATTATGATCCAAGTGGCCACCAGCGGAAACCCAGAGAAAGGGGTGGTCAAGCTGATGCGCTTGTTCGGCTTGGTGTCCCGGATCCTGATGCACGCTCTCTGGTTGCTGTTCTTCGTCTTCAGCTATATGCAAATTACCTACAAAAGGAGTCGGGAGGGCAACGTGCTGACCTCCAACCGACGGCACTCCGCGGAGAGCAAAGATTTCAGGCGGCGAAAATCCAAATTGATGAGCTTTTCCCGCTACCGTAAGTGAGCACGGAGACCTTTCTTTCCGCCCAGAAAGGAGCCGGTCCCCGGGGCGTCATGGCCGTTCCAGCTCCATCTCTTCCTAGCGCTGAACGCCGAGCCTTCGAGCAAAGCCAGAACCTTGCTGCCAATTTAGGTGCCTTGGCGGGTGGGGGTGTGTGTGGGGGGGGTACGACTACGGTCCTGCTGACACCACTTGCTCTAGTTCCATCCCCCAGAGACGGAAAAGAATAAACAGGGAGAAAATCCTGTTTCGGTGTCTGTCTTGTGTCTCTCCTGCCCCACACTCCCAATTCATCCAAGAGCATGACCGTCGCTTGGCTCATGGGCGCTGGGTACTGGTTAAATTTTGTAACTGAGCTAGACACCGCGGGAGGGCTTCTGATCTTAGGGACTGTAATAGGTTAGAGGTCTGTGAGGGAAAACTCAATTGCTGTGTATAAGTCGATGAACCAGCCACGTTACACATTATTAGAGATCGGCAAACTTCCCGTGTCAGTCGAGAAGCTGGAAAAGGCACTTTGTGGCAAGAAGGGTGACAAACAGATATCACGTTGACGTTTATGGTCGGGTAGCTTTATTGGGGTCAGGCCCTCTGCCATTAGTGTTCAGTGCGTCTCGTGGGGATGACAGGAAGAAAGCAAGAAGCCACCAAAAGACAGGACCACGAGAAAAGACCAAAGTGGATTCCCGGAGAGACTCTGAAGGATGCTTGTGAGTGTGGAGTAGCTGAAGCCAATGGTAGACACGATGAAGTCAAAGGACTGGACAGAAGATTTCCAAAGGCAGCTCTAGAAGACAGAGTAAAGCAGTTAGCACAATGCGCAGACCTGCAGTTGGAGGGCCGAAAAGAAAGCGCGCTCAGCAGGTAGCAAGCAGAAAGGACAGACGAGAAAATTCAAGCCTCAGGTTGCAATATTGAAAGATTCTATGAGCAAAATACTGAATGATGCAAAAAACAGTAAAAGCAGATAGAGGAAAAAGAAGATGAAGACAGTGACCTAGGTCACTGTACCCAAAAGAACTGGTTGGCATCTGTGTTAGTCTGGGTAGACTAGAGAAACAAATTCATATGTGTATAAGAAAGAGCTTCGTATACAAGACCAATTGATTATTGAGAAAACATCCCAGCCCAGTCCAGATCTAGTCCCTAAGTCCGACATTAGCCCATATATCTGATACTAAATTCCTCTTTAGACTCAC